CAGTAACTTGAAGCCATATGAAAAAATAAGACATGATAGTAATAGCTACATAGGTAAATAAACAAATATAAGCTAGTATTATGGCATTTTTAGTTTGTAACTCTTTTTTTTCCCTATCTGATTTAAAACATAAATGCATAAAATAATACTTATAAATTTATGCTAAGGGGCACATAATGTATACTTGTGACTATAACTGCATAAAACTGGGATGGGCAAAACTATAAAGGAGCAGAGTTTTTGTATACTATTGAAATTAAGTTGGTATGAATTCTGAGTGTTATGAAGTTAAGATGTTAATTATAACCCCCAGGATAACCACTAAGAAAAAAACTAAAAAATATACAGAAAAGAAATGAGCAGGGAACAAAAATGTTACACTAGAAAAAAATCAACTAATCATAATAAGGCAGTAATGGAGGAACTGAAGAACACAAACAATATAACATATAGAAAACAAATAGCAAAATAGCAGAAGTCCTTTCTCATCAGTATTACTTTAACTAGCAAAGAGATACACTCCAGTTTAAATGCAGATATTAGGAAATGGATTACAAAGAAAAAAAAAAAAAGCCATGGCCCAGTTGTCTACAAGAGATTCACTTTAAATACAAAGATATAAATATGAGGGCACTTCAAAAAGTTCACGCAAAGATTAGCATTATTTTTTAATTCAATTTTTCCATGAACTTTCTGAAGTATTTTCACAGGTTGAAAGTAAGATGTTCCATACACATAGCAACAAAAAGGGAACTAGAATGGCTATACAAAGGTCAGACAAAACAGACTTTAAGACAAAAACTGTTAGAAGAAACAAAGAATATTATATATTGATAAAAGAGACGATATCTAAAGAAGACATAGCAATTATAATTATACACATACCTAACAACAGAGTACCAAAATATACAAAGTGAAAACTAAAAAAATTAAAGAAAGAAAGTAAAAATTCTACAATAATAGTTGGAGACTTCAACACCCAGTTTCAATAATGGACAGAACAAGTAGACAAAGGTCAAATTTTTAAACAAAGGACTTGAACAACACTATAAACCAACTAGACCTAACTGGCTAATGTAGAATATTCTGCCCAGCAATAGAAGAATACACATTTTCCTCAAGTGTGTATGGAATACTGTCCAGGGTAGGCCATAAGACATGTCAATCAATTTAAAAAGATTGAAATCAGTTAAATTACCTTCTCTGACTACAATGGAATGGAGCTAGAAAACAGTAACAAAAAGAAATCTGGAAAATTCACAACTATGTGAAAATTAAGCAACACATCCTTAAACAAGAATTTAAAAGGATTATTAATGGCTGGCCGGTTGGCTCAGTTAGTTAGAGCATGGTGAAATAACACCAATGTCAAAAGATTCAGATTCCTCATACTGGCCTGCCACCAATAAATACATAAATATAAAATCAGAAAATATGTTAAGATAGATGAAAATAAAAACACAACATACCAAAACTTATGAGAGGAAATCAGTGCTCAGAGGGAAATTCATAGCTATAATGGCCCACATTATAAAAAGATAAAAGATCCCAAATTAATAACCTAGCTTAACACCTAAGGAATTAGAAAAAGAAAAGCAAGCTGAACCTAAAGTTACCAGAAGGAAGTCAATAATAAAGACTAGAGCAGAGATAAAAGCAATAGAGAATAGAAAAAACAATAAAAGAATCCAGGAAACCAAAAGTTGGTTCTTTGAAAATATCAATGAAATTGACAAACCATTAGCTAGACTAACCAAGAAAAAAGAGAGAAGGCTTAAATTATTAAAATCAGAAATAAAAGTGGGGGGCCTGCTCCGTGGCGCACTCGGGAGAGTGCAGCGCTGGGAGCGCAGCATCGCTCCCACTGCGGGTTTGGATCCTATATAGGACTGGCCGGTGCGCTCACTGGCTGAGCAGGGTGTGGGTGACAGACACCAAGCCAAGGGTTGCAATCCCCTTACCGGTCACGAAAAAGACAAAAAAAAAAGAAAGAAAGAAAGAAAGAAAGAAAAGTGGGGCATCAATACAGATTTTACAAAAATGAAAAGTATTGTAAAATAATGCTATGAACAAGTGTATGTCAACAAATTACATAATCTAGATGAAATGGACAAATCCCTAGAAACAAACTACCAAAACTGACTCAAGAAGAAATAGAAAATCTAAAGAGACCTGTAACAAGTGAAGAGATTGAACTAGCAATCAAAAGCAGGATAAGAGACATCCAGATCAGAAATTAGAAAGTAAAATTATGTGTATTCACAGATAACATGATCTTATATTGAGAAAATTCTAAAGAGTTCACTAAAGAACTGCTAGAGATAATAAAAAAGTTCAGCAAGGTTGTAGGATATAAGACCAGTATATAAAAATCAATTCTGTCTCTGTACATTAGCAAAGAACATTCCAAACCTGAAATTAAGAAAACAACTCCTTATACTGTAGCACCAAAACAATTAAATACTTACCAATTAATTTACAAAGCAAGTGTAAGTCTTGTACACCGAACATTACAAAACATCATTGAATGAAATTTTAAAAGACATAAATAAATAGAAAGCCATCCCATATTCGTGGATTAGAAGATTTACGTTAAGATGGCAATGCTTGCAGTTAATGCCTCTTACCCCACTGCCTGACACGCTTGAGTCAATCCTCAGAGACCCCATGCCAGAGCCCTCTGCCATAAAGGTTGGCTGGGCCTCCACCCCACCAAGCCAGCTCTGCCCTCCTTCCCTGACCTATTTCATTACCCAAACCCCAGTCTCAGCAGCCATAATTCTCAGGAAGGAGGATGGACAGGCTTATGGGGCAGTTCCTCAGCACAGCCCTAGAAGCTACTACTACGACGCCCACTTTACAGATGAGAAAACTGAGGCACACAGAGGTCGACTGCATTAGTTTCCTGAGGCTACTATAACAAATGACCACAAGCTGGGTAGCTTAAAACAAAAGTTTATCCTCTCCCTGGTCGGGAGGCAAGAAATCCAAAATCAAGGTGTGGCAGAGCTGTGTTCTTCCCGAGGCTCGTGAGGAAGATCCTTCCTGCCTCTCCAGTTTCTGGCGGCTCCAGGAGTTCCTGGGCTTGTGGCTGCATCACTCCAATTTCTGCCTCTGTCTTCGTGTGGCCTTCTCCTCTATGTCTGTGTCTGCTTTTCTGTCTCCTATGACACGTGTCGCTGGAGTCTGGGCCCACCCTAATCCAGGATAATCTCATCACAAAACTTCACTTAATTACATCTGCAAAGACCTTATTTCCAAAACAGATTCCATCCTGAGGTTCCAGGTGGGGCCACACAACGCTGTGCACACTCTGACCCCCTCCTCCAGCCTGCCCCAGAGTAGGGGCTCCCAAAACCGGGTGTGGGCCTCAGGCCACTCCTGCAGCACAGGGCCTTCAGCAGGGCCAAGCCTGCCACTCCCACCATGGGCCCACCCCCTCCTCTCTCTATGTCCCCCTCCTGAGGCTGCAAAGCCAGGGGCTCACTCTCCTGGGCTGCCTCAAGCTGTGCACAGCCATGAGACTCCCAGGGAGCCAGGGAGGCATCAGGGCCAGTACTCGGGCTTCCAGGAGAGCTTTTGTTTCCCAAACAGAAGAGACGCAGCTGGGGTAGAATTCAGAGAACGCCCCAAACACTGAATCTAGTGAAGCAGTCCCACAGGTGGAATGAAGGTCTTGAATGAGGTCACTTGAAGTTGATCAAAAGAGAGATTATCCTGGGTGGGCCTGACCTAATCAGGTGAAGCCTTAACAGGGAGGAGGCTCTTCCTTGCACAAAGAGATTTGAAGCAAGATAGATTCTCCATCACTTCCCTAAAGTTTGCAAGGGCCACATGGCAAGGAATGAAGCTGGCCTCAGGGATCTGACGGCAGACCCCTGGCTGACACTGGCAAGGAAACAGGGCGTTGGGCCCACAGAACACAACATCAGGGAACTAAATTCTGCCAACAGCTTGGATGAGCTTGGAAGAGGAACTGAAAGAACACAGCCAGCGGGCACCTTGATTTCAGCTTTAAGACCCAGAACTGAGGACCCAGCTACACTGTGCCCAGACTTCTGATTTGCAGAACTGTGAGCTACTAAATGAGTATTGTTTTAAACCATGAAGCTTGCGATCATTTGTTACACGGGAGTTAAAAATAAAAATTAACACACACACACCCCTTCCACATTCTTTCCGCCTTGAATGTGATGGCTGGAGCTGTGGAAGGAATCTTGTGACCTTGGAGCAATAAGCATTTGAAGGAAAAAGGTAATATACTCAGGATGGCAGAGAAATAGACAGAGCCTGTGTCCTTGTGATTGAATGTTAAAAGGTCCCTGAGGTGTCTGGCCTCCCTGCATCCACACCCCTCTACAACAGGATGTGCCACTCCCTCAGTGACAGCAGGGTCGATGTCTCTATGCCCTTGGAGCTAGGCTGGCCTTATGCTTAGCTTTGAGCAATAGAACATGGAGAAGGTAACATTCTGGGACTCCTGAGGAAAGAGCTTAACAATCCTCATAGATTCTACTATTCCCTGCAGGGAATCCACCACCACGAAAAGAAGCTCAGAGTATACACATGGAGAACATCACCCTGGGAATGAGATGTCACAAGAAGACAGCAACCACAGAGGAAAGACACAGGAGTGAGGCCAGCCAATGTCACAAGAAGAGAGAGGCCCCTCATCCCTAGCCAGCCCTCGTCCACTGGAGCCATCCCAAATGGGACTTTAGATGCACTGAGGCCTGGGTGGAGCCCTTAGCCCACCCAAGGCCTCGTTAAGCACAGATGAACCAACCTGCTAAGTCCTGCCTGAATTCCTGCTCCACAGAATCCTAGACATAAACTGATCTTTCAAGCCTCTAAGTTTTGGGGTGATTTGTTACTTGGCAGCAGATAACTAGCTGACACAGGTCCTTATGTGGCAACTGAGCTCTGCCCCAGCCCACACTGGAACCCTTCCTCCAGGCTTGTCCCCAGGAGACAGTTAAATGTCTGCTTGATCAACTGACCTGTGACGTCCAGATGGAAGGAGACACTCTGGCCCCCAGCCTCGCAGCTGTACTCCCCAGCGTCTGCCTTCCCCACCTGCTGCACCACCAGCCGCCGCGTGCAACCTGTGGCCTCCATTCGCACCACTGAGCTTGAGCTCAGCTTCTTCCCATCCTTGTACCATGTCACCTCTGTCTGGGACTGGGCCACCTCGCAGCTCAGTGTGGTGCTGGCCCCTGCCTCAGCCTTCACCTTGCTGTGTGCAGGCTGCTCCTTGGTGAACACCACCTTGGGCTCTGGGGACAGACAAAGAGGGACACAGGGTCAGAGACTCCAGACCACAAAAACTGAAGTTTCAGAGTCAGAGAGTGTTCAGACCAGAGCCGGCTGATGACAAGCCCTCTGTGCCCAGGAACAGCAGACTCACAAACCAGTCATGGGTTTGAGCAACAAGAGAGGACACATTTTGGAGGCTTCAAGAGTGAGCCAGGGGGAGAATTTCCAAAGGCCTATCAGCATCATGCAGCAGACCCCAAGGTCCAAAAGGACTACAACTTCTAAAAAAAAATAAAAATAAAAAAGCACTGCCCAGGCAGAGCGCCCCTTTGAAAGGAAAAGCTGCTGGTACCACATGTAAAGCCCACGTGCCCCGGAGACTTACACAAACTGTGTGAGAACCAAGAAAACCTGCAGGATCACAAATGTAGACACTCTCTCGGGTTCAGCTTGAAAAACACAGGACATTTGGGCAACTCTCTCCCATGCAACCAAATAAACCACAACCCAAGAAGACCCCCTGTCCCACCAGCTGCTTCTCTCCTGGTCTGCACTCAAGCCAGAGCCACACTGTACCTGTCTGGGTTTCCCTTTCACACCAAAAGGAAGGCTTGTACACTGAAAAAAAATGCTTACCATTTTCTTAACGAGTATGAAATTCACATGGGGTGATACACACAGAGCAGGTGCAGGAGTCAGTGAGTTCCCACAGCTACACGCACCTGTGCAACCCACACCCCAGGCAAGGCCTGCCTGCCTCTCCCCTCAAAAGCAGGTGCATTCTCATTCCCAGCCCAGAACCTCTGCCTGTCTTTGAACCTCAGATAGATGAAATCACATAGAACACAGAGTTTCCTTTTAGTCAGCATATGAGGGCTGGCCAGTTAGCTCAACTGGTTACAGTGTGATTCTTATAACACCAAGATCCAGGTTTGATTCTGTACTGGCCAGCTGCCAAAAAAAAAAAAAAAACTAGAATAATGCAAAAATGCTGATTAAATTGAGGCACACCAAAATGCATCACCATCACCCTAACCCTAACCCTACCCCTCCATACACATGCACCCTACCTGGCCCTACAGAAGCTCCAGTTTAAAATTTTTTAGTTGTTTTTTCCCCTCTGGCATCTGCCTTCCTATTACTAAATAATATACACATGCTGTTGACCAGGGAGTTATAAAGAATATGTATAAAATAAAGAAAAAGCAAATACAATACAGTGGACACCCACATACCCCCACCTGGTAAAGAGAGAAAAACACCATCATCATGCTTCCCAGTCCCTCAGAGGTAACCCTGGCCTGAATCCTGCTTGGGAGATTCCTGGCTTTTGTTTGTTGTCTCACCACATGTGTTTACTGAGCATGGATTTGCAAGCCAGGCTGCTCTGATCCCAACCTCTGCTCAGCCATTTACTGGCTGTGTGACCTGGAAGAAGTTACCTAACTTCTCTGTTTGTCAGCTTCCTGATGTCTAAAATAGAATGACAATTGAGGACTCATACCATTGAGGTGCGCAACATGATGAGAGAACAGTGTCCCCAGGAAATCCCAGGCAGGAGACTAGTGGCAGCTGTTATGTTCTATTGTTGTTGCTATTATTAAACACATAAAAGTTATGCTGGGCTCTGTTTCTTGCTTTTCTACTTCAACATCATGTTCATGAGCTCACCCCTTTTAATCTGATGAATATCTCTACACTCATTCTCACTGTGCATGGTATTCCATCACACAAACAGGCAACAATTATACTATTGATAGACATTTGGGTTACATTCATTTTGGTTTTTGCTATCACAATCATTTTTGATTTGGTTGATTTTTTGTTAACATTTTAATGCTATTAAGCATATAGGTTTATATTTCCTTGTGCTTTAACCAGTAATTTTAGTTCTCAGTAGGAGGGTTTATTCAAATCTCAAGGCCCACCATGACCAAAAACAGAAGCCCTTTACACCTGTTTGTTTACATCTGCATTTCTGGGCTACACGCTGGAGAACTTCCTCAGATCTATCCTCCATTTTGCAAATCCTCTCTTCAGCTGTGTCTACCATATTTAGCTACTAAACCATCCCATGTTTTTAAATTTCAATTTCCATACTTTTCATTTCTGTTCTATTTGATTCTTTTTCTTTTTAATAGTTTCTTAGCCTTTCTTTATGCTCTAATTTCTTTATTTATGTTTTCAGTCACTTTAAACATACTTGTGTGAAAGTATTCATCTGACCAAATTCTATCACTATTAGCTCATAAGGACTCTTGTGAGCTAATGGTCTGCTATTACTGGGTTGGGGGGGAAGTCATAACATTACATAATGTTATGTCTGGTGACCCTTGCCAAGTGTTCTGTGATTTTTATTTATGAGTTCAACCATCTACAATTGAGATATAGGTGTTCAGGAACCCAGCAGGGCCCTGGCAGAGGTCGTGGACATGACCTTCCAGGATGGTTCCACATTCACCTCTGACAAGCATCAGAGGTGTGTTGCCAGCTTGAGGCCACATTCTGTGCTAATTCCTTGGTTTGGGGGTCCTGGACCATGAGAGAAAGTATTACAAAGCAAACAACAGTACACACAAGGAGAGACAGGCCAGGGCTCACAATCATGGAAGACACTACAAGCTTCTTTGCTTCCCCTCAAGCCTGTGGGCAGACCTTCTCCAGCTGCCTTCTCACAGAGTGGGTCATGGGATCTCAGTCCCAGCACTCCTCTTTCTATAGTCTGAGGCCCTCAAACCTGTCATGGGCAACCTCAACACAGTCCCCCATAATCCCTACACCCAGAGCACACCAGTACTAATGGCTAATGGCTGAGTTTACCACTTTCTCTTACTTTTTGGCTCCTGAGCAATCTCTCCTATTTTCTTCAAAGTTCCCTGCACTGTGATTTCATATTACGAGGAGTTTTGTAGAGGGTGGGTTTCTCAAAATTCAAATGAAGTTCTAGAAAAGGCAAATTAATCTATGGGGATAGAATTAGAACAGTGGCTGTTTGGGAGAGGAGAAAGAATTACCTGCAAAAGGGTACACAGAACTTTCTAGAGTAATGAAAATGTTCTATATCTTGATGGGGACATTAGGGTTACATGGGGTCCACATTTTCCAAAACCTCTCAAACTGTACACTTAAGATCTGTGCATGTTAGGGCTGGCCAGGTGGCGCACTGCTACAGTGCGCCACCTGGGAGCACGGCAGCGCTCCCGCCGAGGGTTCGGATCCCACATACAGACCGGTTCCCGCTCACTGGCTGAGCGAGGTGCGGGCACAACACCAAGGGTTGCGATCCCGTTGCCGGTCCCGGTCCGGTACGGGTGCAACACTGAGGGTTGCGATCCATTGCTGGACACGAAAAAAGACAAAAAGGAAAAAAAAAGATCTGTGCATGTTACACCTCAACAAATGATTATTAAAAAATTGTTGGAACCAGAGCTTCTTTAATTTTTATGATGATAATAACAACTTCCTATGTGCAATCCAATATTACACTGGAAATTCTGACTCAGGCACCAAGATAAAGTGAATATGATACTCCAAAATAAGAAGGCAGGTGGAGGGGTTGGCTGGTTAACTCAGCTGGTTACAGCACGGTGTTGTAACACCAAGGTCAAGAGTTCAGATCCCCATACTGGCCAGCCACCAAAAAAAAAGAAAAAAGAAACCAGGTGGACAAATCTTTTTTTTTTTTTTTAAGATGACTGGTAAGGGGATCTTAACCCTTGACTTGGTGTTGTCAGCACCACGCTCACCCAAGTGAGCCAACCGGCCATCCCTATATAGGGATCCAAACCCGTGGCCTTGGTGTTATCAGCACCGCACTCTCCTGAGTGAGCCATGGGCCGGCCCAAGAGACAAATCTTTAAAGAAGTTAACAAAAAAAGAAAAACTAACAAAAACAAACCCCACCCCCCCAAAAAAAGTGGTTTTCACAAATTTCCCCATATGTAGGATAGCAACGGATCTCAGCATGAGAAGCATGGAGGAGGGGTCTGGGGAGAGGAACTCTAGAGAGATCGGCGCTGTGGGTCCCACCCCACACCACACATGGAGCACAGAGGGGAGAGGGCTTCCCCCTGCCCACCCCAACCAAGACAGTCACCCATCCCCACGCTCTGCGAGCCACGCCTGCAGCTTGAGACTGACAGCGGTGAGTGGAGCCAAGCAGAAGACGCCTTCCCAAGCTGGTCACCAGTGCCACAGCATTCTGCCTCTAGCCTGGAAAACCTCAAAACTAAGGTGGGACGGGCCAGCAGCTCCACCACAGCAATATCTCCAGATCGTTGGGGTAGCAGATGTGTGGGGGCATCTATGGGCCAGTTGAGGGCCAAGTGCGGGGCGGTAGGAAAGGTTTGGGGAAGTGCAACAGGACGGAGCATTCAACAGAGAGAAGGTGAGGACAGCGCCACGGTTCAGGGACTGAGGAAGGAGATCAGGGTGGGTCAGAGGAGAGCACGACCCCGGAGGACACAGCTGGGGCAGATCCTCCGAGGGCAGGTGGGTGCACTGCTGTCAAACCCTGCCCAAGAGGGTCATTCTAACCCCTGGCAGGACCAGACAGCAAGTCATCTTAGAGCAACACTGGTTAAGTGAGAATTGCCAGCCCCTCCCCTGATTTCTAGCCTGGAGGAGACAGAAACTGCAAGTAGCTGCCTGGGCCAGGAGTGGCAAGAGAGAGGAGACTGTCCCCTCCCACTGAGGCTGGGAGGAGACCCCAAAGCCCCACACAGAGCTGGAAGACACACACAGAACTACAGGGGACGAAGGCCTCCCAGTGGCCAACTGAAACTCCGGTGCCTTAAATTGAACACACATGTCAGCAACCGAAGAATAAAGACAAAAGTCACAGACCTATTTTGGTGGTGGCAAGACAACTGGCTTTGGCATGATTTACAATTCCTTGGGTTATGCAAAGAAAAATGAACCCAAATACAGACTTGCAACACATGGCCTGTATGAGAAAAAAACACCTGAAGAAAACAATGAAAGGAACGCAAGAACAGAATGAAGAAAGTCAGCGGGACTGCAAAGGCCAATGTTGGTGCCGGCAAAAATGGTTAGACAGCAGTGTTATGACACCCAGGTCAAGGGTTCAAATCCCCGGACAGACCAGCTGCCAGGAAAAAAAAAGCAGAAGGAGTAAAGATTCTGCAATGACTTTATCTGCAGTGATTGTGCAAATTTTTCACAAGAGAATAAACTATAAAAAACTTAAAAAAAAAATCACAGATCTTAACCAGGTGCAGGAAAAAGACTACTATCACTAAATAAATAAAAAAGGGGCCTTGGATGACAAAGCACACTGTTTTTTGACTGTACACCAGGAAGACCCAATTTTTTTCAAAGCATTGATTATGAAGTAGAATAACATCCCCCCCAGTTTGGGAGCAAACGATACACATGGGTTAAGTGCACCCAGGGTGCAAGGTGACAATAGATATTCTGTCAAGTAGAAAGGCACTGGTCACACTGTCAGGAGACCCACCTGCGACATCCAGGTGGAAGGAGACCCTCCGGCCCCCAGCCTCGCAGCTGTACTCCCCAGCATCCGCCTTCCCCACCTGCTGCACCACCAGCCGCCGCATGCAGCCTGTGGCCTCCAAGTGCACCTTCGAGCTTGAGATCAGCTTTTTCCCATCCTTGTACCACGTCACCTCCGTCTGGGCCTGGGCCACCTTGCAGCTCAGTGTGGCATTAGTTCCCGCCTCAGCCTTCACCTCACTGTGCACAGGCTGATCCTTGGCAAACACTGCCTTGGGCTCTGGAACAGACAAGGAGGGACACAGGGTTAGAGACTCCAGACCAGCCCCAGCCCATCTCTCAGGGCCCGGGGCTCACTCGGAGCTGGCAGTGGCCAAGACAGGACCGTCACGAGTAAGTGCCATGGCACGATAATGCACACACAGGTTCCATCTGTGAACAACTGGAGCTGTGTGCTGTGAAGCTGCACATGAGGAGGCTGAGGTGCACCCGACCTCCTCACGGCTCTCAGCACTTCCAGCTCCGCTCTGAGGTTTGTGGGTGCACGTGCTGTCACAGGCCAGGAAGCCACCACAGCCAGGCCCTGTCTCCTGATAATGCCACTGTCCTGTCGTTTGGGGACCAGACTTGGGCCCTTCCCTGCCTCAGGTCTCCCAGGCCCCCCAGACTGTTTCCACTCCCCACTTCTTCCCACCACCCAGGGGCCACAGAGAGCAGGACAGGAGGCAAAGCCTGGAAAGATGTGCCCACCTTGAGCACCAAACCAGAAACCTCATCAACGTTGGCCGAGGTTACAGAGAGAATGTAATAGAGCTGAGTGCCAGGTGTGGGCCAATCAGGACAGAGCTGAGTATTGGGTGAACCAACTGGGAGAGAGCTGAGTGCCAGTGTCAACCAATCAGGAAGACAGAGTTGAGTGCCAGGCATGGCCAATCGGGAGTGAGCTAAGTGCCAATGTGGACCAATCAGAAGGGAGCTGAGTGCCACCTGGGGCCAATCAGGAGAGAGGTGAGTGTCAGTGTGGGCCAATCAGGAGAGAGGTGGTTGAGCTGCATGTGGTCTCCTATCCCCAGGCTCAGTGACAGGGTGGACAGTGTGGAAAGGAGAAGGACTTGAGCAGGGAAGGACAGATGGACATGGTGATTGTCAAGGGACTGAGTGTGGACTTGCACAGCTCCAAGGCCCAGCCAGCAGGAATGAGTGGGCGGGGGGAGCCCCTGACACCCACCAGTAATCCTCCCTGTTGTCCCCATCATCCGGAGAGGTGTTTCAGATCAGACCAGACCCCAGACCCACCTGTGGTCATCACCCCACTGTCACCACCACCCCTAGATCAGCCTCACAGGATGCACACTGGGGTCAGCTCAGCCCGTAGCCAGCTCCGGTCTCGTGACACAAGGATATGACCCTGGGAGCCCCTAGGCACTCAAAGCTGGGGGCGTGGATTCCCACGGATATGCAGAATGCCAGGGCCTCACAGCACCCTGAGCTGCCTAAATGTGCCCTCGGAAGGGGTATTAGATCACATCACACCTCACATTCACCAGCCAATGTCACCACACTGTCCCCATCACCCCAGTCTAGCCCTCACCAGGACGCACACGGAAGTCAGCTCAGCCCGTGGCTGGCTCTGGTCTCATGACACAACAACATGAGCCTGGGAGCTCCTGGATGGAGCTGGGGACACAGATGTTAGGCAATGAAGAGAGGGGATTCTAGAGCCTCACAGCGCACTGGGCTGCCTAAATGTGCCCTTGGAGCTTCACACCCGAAGCTCAGGTTTCCCCCATTCTTCAACTCAACTTGTCACCCACCTGTGACATCCAGGTGGAAGGAGACCCTGCGGCCCCCGGCCTCGCAGCTGTACTCCCCAGCATCCACCTTCTCTGGCTTCTGCACCACCAGCCGCCGCGTGCAGCCTGTGGCCTCGAAATGCACCTTCGAGCTTGAGATCAGCTTTTTCCCATCCTTGTACCACGTCACCTCCGTCTGGGCCTGGGCCACCTTGCAGCTCAGTGTGGCATTAGTTCCCGCCTCAGCCTTCACCTCACTGTGCACAGGCTGATCCTTGGCAAACACTGCCTTGGGCTCTGGAACAGACAAGGAGGGACACAGGGTTAGAGACTCCAGACCAGCCCCAGCCCATCTCTCAGGGACCGGGGCTCACTCGGAGCTGGCAGTGGCCGAGACAGGACCGTCACGAGTAAGTGCCATGGCACAATAATGCACACACAGGTTCCATCTGTGAACAACTGGAGCTGTGTGCTGTGAAGCTGCACATGAGGAGGCTGAGGTGCACCCGACCTCCTCATGGCTCTCAGCACTTCCAGCTCTGCTCTGAGATTTGTGGGTGCATGTGCTGTCACAGCTCAGGAGGCCACCACAGCCAGGCCCTGTCTCCTGATAATGCCACTGTCCTGTCGTTTGGGGACCAGACTTGGGCCCTTCCCTGCCTCAGGTCTCCCAGGCCCCCCAGACTGTTTCCACTCCACACTTCTTCCCACCACCCAGGGGCCACAGAGAGCAGGACAGGAGGCAAAACCTGGAAAGATGTGCCCACCTTGAGCACCAAACCAGAAACCTCATCAACGTTGGCCGAGGTTACAGAGGGAATGTAATAGAGCTGAGTGCCAGGTGTGGGCCAATCAGGACAGAGCTGAGTACTGGGTGAACCAACTGGGAGAGAGCTGAGTGCCAGTGTCAACCAATCAGGAAGACAGAGTTGAGTGCCAGGCATGGCCAATCGGGAGTGAGCTAAGTGCCAATGTGGACCGATCAGAAGGGAGCTGAGTGCCACCTGGGGCCAATCAGGAGAGAGGTGAGTGTCAGTGTGGGCCAATCAGGAGAGAGGTGGTTGAGCTGCATGTGGTCTCCTATCCCCAGGCTCAGTGACAGGGTGGACAGTGTGGAAAGGAGAAGGACTTGAGCAGGGAAGGACAGATGGACATGGTGATTGTCAAGGGACTGAGTGTGGACTTGCACAGCTCCAAGGCCCAGCCAGCAGGAATGAGTGGGCGGGGGAGCCCCTGACACCCACCAGTAATCCTCCCTGTTGTCCCCATCATCCGGAGAGGTGTTTCAGATCAGACCAGACCCCAGATCCACCTGTGGTCATCACCCCACTGTCACCACCACCCCTAGATCAGCCTCACAGGATGCACACTGGGGTCAGCTCAGCCCGTAGCCAGCTCCGGTCTCGTGACACAAGGATATGACCCTGGGAGCCCCTAGGCACTCAAAGCTGGGGGCGTGGATTCCCACGGATATGCAGAATGCCAGGGCCTCACAGCACCCTGAGCTGCCTAAATGTGCCCTCGGAGTTTCACACTCGACATTCTGGGTCCCCGCCACCACCCCCCAACCCTGTCACTCACCTGTGACATCCAGGCAGAAGGAGACACTCTGGCCTCCAGCCTCACAGGTGTACTCCCCAGCGTCCACCTTCCCTGCCTTCTGCACCACCAGCCGCCGTGTGCAGCCTGCAGCCTCCATGCGCACCTTTGAGCTTGAGCTCAGCTTCTTCCCATCCTTGTACCAAGTCACCTCTGTCTGGGCCTGGGCCACCTCGCAGCTCAGCGTGGCACTGGCTCCTGCCCCGGCCTTCACCTCGCTGCGCACAGGCTGATCTTTGGCGAACACCACAGCAGGCTCTGGGGACAGACGAGGAGGGACACGGTCAGAGGCCCCATCCAGGTGAGGTTTCCATCTCCTGGTTCCTTGTTTATAGGCTGGATGCCAGGCAACCACGTCCCCCCATGGGATCTTCCGTGATCCTCCTTGGGTACTCAGGTGGGGCTTTTCTGCATCCAAGCTGGGTGCTACACCCAACCCCATGTGGGCCAAGACCCTCATGTGCCTCAAGAGGGAAGCAGAGCAAGCCTTGGAGAAATCACCAACAGGGTCAGGTGGCCTGACTGTCCCTTGCAAAACCAGAACCCTTTCTCCCTGATACGGACTGAATTGTGTTTCCCAAGTTTTATGTACTGAAACTTAATCCCCATTGTAACTGTTGAGGGTGGGAAATCCTATTGCGGTAATTGAAAGATGGGGCCTTGAAGAGGTGATTACATTGTAGGACATGCTCTTCATGAATGGACTAAAAATGGTGGTCATGGGCGTGGTTCTGCCACGTGAGAGCCCTGCATTGATGTAAAACCACCACCAAAGACCTCACTAGATTTCTTCCCTAGACTTTGGACTTCCCAGACTCTGAAACTGTAAGCAATAAATTTCATTTCTTACAAATTACTCAGTTGGAGGTATTTTGTTATAAGAAACAGAAACAGACCAATATACTCCCTCTCCCTAAACTCCTGCCCCTCCACAAAGTACTCTTTCCACGGACACATGTTCACATTTATGACTAAAATGTAAAGTTCAGCATCACAAATGATTCCCTGATTCCCTCCACCAACAGAAACCCGACAGCACTGTGTTTTCTGCTTTGTGTACGAACAGCCATTGGATTATGAATTATTAAGGATTGCATCAGTGGAGACATACAAAATGCCCACATGCTTGCCTCTGGAATGCAGCGGCGTGAGATTTTCAGGTGCGTTTCTGGGCTTGGAGGCCTCCCTGTCCTCAGGCGGCCCAGGGTGGGGGACCCTACGCCTATGAGGACAGGTTGAGCCCTCCTTGAGGTGGGGGCTGCACCAACGACTCGGCCCACAGAGGCCCAGCAGCCACGCTTCTTGTGAAACCCTCATGCAGTTCATCCCTCAGCCTCCCAGCCAACATCTCTGAGCCCTGGGAGCTTCTAGAAAGACTAGATTTGGGTCAGATCCACTAGATTCAAACCTCAATCTGCCAAGGTCACTGCAAACACCTTTTAGCTCCTCCCAGCCTGTTTGCTCATCTTTAAAAGGAAGAGAAGCACTTCCAAACCCTTTTTCCTAATGTGCCTGGCCCTGAGCCCAGCCCACAGACACACAATCAACAAGAGAACGTTCAGGGCTGTGAGCAGACCCCGGCTGCAGAGACGAAACACAAACGGGATCGAGGCTCAGGACAGAGAAAAGAGATTTCCTTAACGCCTGAATAAAACCTAGAGTACATCCGTCATCCCTCAACTTCCTTTTTTTACTCTCATTTTTCTCTATTTCTTTCTTATTCTATTTTCCACAGTTTCATTCCTCACCAGTGAAGACGTTAGTTTTTTTATTATTTCTCTCCCCGCCCTTGCCCGCCGCCCCCCCCCATCCACTGAGGAAAAGAAGGGTCTGGAGGTCTGTCATGTGGTGCTGGAGGCAGCCGGACCTGCTCCCCACCCCAGGCCAGCCCAGGCTCACATACACACACGGGCACACTCACCAGAGACCCGGAGCTGGAAGTCCACTGAGTCCTCGCCCACACGGCAGGAGTAGGTGCCCTCATCCTGCCTGGTGACTGAGGAGGCCACCAGCCGATGCCGTGTCCCCATGTCTTCCTGCAAGAAGTGCGGGCTGGAGCAACCCAGCTCGGTGCCATCCTTGTACCAGCGCACGCTGATGTGGGCCTCCGACGTCTCACACTCAAACTGGGCTGGGCCCCCAGCCACAGCATCCACGCAGCCGCCCGTTGTGTCCTTGTGCAGAAAGGGCGTGAGGCCTGCAGGAGTGTGAGGCAGGTCAGGGACTGCAGAGGCACTGACCACACTCTAGGCCACAGCTGGTGTGTGGCTGGAGGTGTCCGGGCTTCAGGGACTACACAAGACACTGATCCTCACCCAGGCCCGAGAGACCTTGACCAACCACCAGACTGCCCACCCAAGTGGACACCCACAGTTAGGAAGCCTTTCCTCCCACTTAGCTGAGCCTGCCCAGACCACCCTGTGGTCTGTCTTCTTGTTGCAGTCAGACACAGCCACCCCAGCCTCCCAGACCCCTCAAAGCCTGCCCAAAGCTTGGGGACAGAGGAAGGTGGGAGGGCTTACCACCTTGCACAGATAGCTGGTAGGCGACACAGCCCCCGGGGCTGACACACTCATACAGGCCGGCATCAGACCGCACCACGTCGTGCACAAGCAGTGCCTGCTTCCCGGCCAATGCCTGCACCTCGTACTTGGGGCCGGGGGACAGCGTGCGGCCGTCCTTCAGCCATGTGACAGCCGCAGCCTGGTCCGACAGCTCGGCCA